ACTCTGCTGGGCCTTAGGCCTGCACCTTGGCGACGAGCTCCTCGGTCGCCTCGCCCCGCCCCGGCCCGGCCCGGCCCGGCCCCCCACTCGCGTCACGCACCGAGCAGCGGCTCTCCGAGTCGGTGCGAAGATGAGCTCGGGGTCCTAGGGGCCCTCGCCACACTGCTGCTTTCCGGGCTTCGGTCTCCCCCTCCAGGCGACAGACGGCTCAACAGCCTGCTTCCACTTGGCTCAGCTTCCTTCTCCTGCGAAGGAAGCGCTACCTAGAATCTAATTCCTACGCCAGCAACCATTTATTCGCTCTCGCCCTCACCCACCCAGAGGGCCGTTTTTCGATTTCCGGCTTTTGTTGTTGTTGTTGTTGTTGTTTATTTGTTTTTCTTGTTGGTGTTTTGAAACAAGGTCTTTTTACTTGACCGTTGCTGTCCAGGAAGTCACGCTGTAGATCAGGCTGGCTTTGAACTCACAGAGATCCGGGTGGGATTAAAGGCGTGCGCCACCACCTGGTGTCCAGGTTCTTTCTGGCTTTGAGTGATTCTGAGGACAAAAACATTTTCTGGTCCTTGTCAAAATTAGCTCAAACGTTTACTAAGTGCCTATTTGAGGCCATCATCAGGGCTTGGGAAAGGTGAGTACAGCTCAAGGGGACGTCACTAATTCTGGTCAAGGCAGGTGACTGGTCCATCCCAGCTCACCCCCATCTATTTTATTGTTGAGTGAGATAATTAACTTGGACGAGTATTGAGCACTTACTGTGTGCTGTGCTCAATCTAAATCAGTAAGGCTCTGGGCAGGGGGACAACAGTAAGTGAATCCTGGCACAGCCTGCTTGGGCTGCCCAGATAAATTCACCACGATTGCCCTGAGGGCAAGAGGCCTGTAGCACTGAGGGCTCTCCCCCTTGAGCTAAGGGTTGCCATGACCACATCCCGAAATGGTCAGCCCCTCTCTGTAGCATGGGCAGCAGCGACACCCCTGCCTCCTTAGGGACAGGCAGGACTGTCCATGAACCCACCCTTCCCTCCAAAGCCACAGGGCACAAGGAGGCTGGGAAACGTTTTATTTGGCTGTGTGGTAGGAGGGATGGAGCAGAGCTGGGGTCAGGGGACAGTGTGGGAATGGAAGCTCCAACAGTTGAGGCTTGGACATCTCCAAGCCATAGAGAACTTGACCAGGTCCTTCTGCTCTGTTTCCCCATTCCAGCCCTCAAAATCCGGGTCTACCCCGCCCCCATCCTGACTGGGATTCCTCTGGGTCCTCTTGGGGGCCCAGATTCATTGGCGCCCACCTGGCTTTCTGGGATTTGCTGACGACAAGGACAGTCTGATCCTCCCCGCCTATCGGATACCAGTCCTGACTTCCAAGGCAATGCAAGGAGGACACCCAGGAGGACACCCAGGGCAAAAGCCACAGCTGACAGCCAGGCTGAAGTCTAGCTAGCAGAGAAAGCTTCCACCCCAGACTGTCCCCCAGTGTCTGCCTCATCACAGACAGTCCTCAAACCTGTCTGATAGCTTGCCTGTCCCAGAAGGAGTACAAGGTCGAAGGTACAGACAGATCTGGGCAAGCATCCGAGCTTGGGGATCTCTCTTTTGTAACTACGGAAACTCTTATATCCACCTAATCTCGGGTACTGCACCCCTTAGAAGGATCACCTTGCTGGAGCACTGACTTCTGGAGAGAGGAGTGCGTCCCAGACTCTAGAAGCTTTACAGAGGCAGCTAGGGGACCAAGACCAATCTGGGAGTGCCTGGCTTCTACCCTCCCCCTTCCCAAGCCTGGCCCTTTCTGATAGCTGTTTACCAATTAGGGTTCAGAGGATTGGGGCTCAGAGGCCATCAGGGTAGAGGGGGCCCGATGACGATGCTGCTGTTGGTGACTCTCGGGCCGTACCAGCCGGCCCAGTAATGAGTGTCCACGCCTCCGTGTTGAAACCAGATGTAGCGGACGCCGGGAGGATAGTTGGAGAATGTGTGTGAAACCTGAGGTGCAGACAGAAGGAGGGGAGCAGTCAGGGACTTCTATGTAAGACCTGTCTCAAAGAACAAAGCCAGGGGATGGAAGAGATGGCTCTGAGTTTAAGAGCATTGGCTGCTCTTTCAGAGAACCAGGATATGAGTCCCAGCATCTCCATGGCAGCTCCAGTTCCAGGAGATCTGCCACCCCTCCTGGCCTCCTAGGCACATAGGCAAAATACATATACACATAACATGAAGATAAATCTTTTTTTAAAAAAAAGGACAGCGAAAACAAAACAAAACAAAAAAATCAGAGCTGGGGATGTTAGATTCATTGAAAGTGCTTATGTAGCATGCTTGAAGCCTGGGATTCTGTTCCCAGCACCGTGATGGCACAGCCTCTAATTCCAGCACTCAGGAGGCAAAGGCCGGAGGATCAGAAGGTCATCTGTGGCTATGTATTGCCTTAGAGGCCCTCCTGGGATACTTGAGACCCTGTCAGAAAAGGATAAAAGAGTCGAAGCTGTAGCTCAGTGAAGTGCTCTCCCGGTAGAATAAAATGCATAAAGACCCGTGCTCAATCCTCAGCATAAACCAGGTGGTGGCAAACACCCGTGATCTTAGCCCTTGGGGGACAGAGGCAGGAGGAGCCCGAACACAAGACTGTCTTCTGCTATGTAGTAAGTTTGAGACCAGCTTGGGCTATATGAGATCCTGTATCAGATAAACCACAAGTAAAAATAAAATTAGAATCACGTTTCTCAGCTTAGAAAGGGCTGGATTTTACTCAAGGTTCAACTGGCCAAGGACTTGTGTACATAAGGGCTCAGCTCACCTGCACTTTTGTTAATAAATCTTTACTGGAACAGTACCCACTTGCTGTCTAAAGCGGCTTTCTCACAGCAGCAGCAGAGCTGAAATGCTAGTCCTATGTTTGGGTGTCTGTGTGTGTATGTTTTTGCATGTGAGTGCAGTATCCACAGAGGCCAGAAGAGGGCGCTGGTGCTGGCAAGTTTCTCTGTGTAACAGCTCTGGCTGTCCTGGAACTCGCTCTTCCTAGGCCAGGTTGACCTTGAACTCACAGAGATTCACCTGCCTCTGCCTCCCAAGTGCTAGGATTAAAGGTTTATGCAATTAAAGGCAATGCAAGCACTCTTAACCTCTGAGCCATCTCTCTAGCCCTCCTGTCTGACTTAAACAACTTTTAAAATGATATTTAGCTGGGTGGTGGTGGCACACACCTTTAATCCCAGCACTCAGGAGGCAGAGGCAGGCGGATCTCCATGAGTTCGAGGCCGGCCTAGTAGACAAGAGCTAGTTCCAGGACAGGCACCAAAAACTACAGAGAAACCCTGTCTTGAAAATACAAATAAATAAATAAATAAATAAGTAAACAAAATGACATTTATTACTGTACATGTGTGGATGCGCAGCAGTCTGAAGATGTTGGAGCTGGCGCTGTCTTTCCACTATGTGGGTCCCAGGGACTGAACTGAAGTCCTTAGTCTTGACAGCAAGTGCCTCTTCCTCATGAAACATTTATGTTGAAGGCCTCTGCCTGGCTTCTTGCTGCTGGAGTATTTATTTGTTCATTTTATGTGTATCCCTGGGTAGCCTAGAACTTGCTGTGTAGACAGGGTTGATCTTCTACTTTTGGAGATCTGCCTGTTTCTGACTTGCCATGCCCACCTTGCCCAGATGTTTTGTTTCTTGTTTATGTATTTATGTATTTATTATTTTCTTAAGTAATTTATCTATTTTTATTTTATTGTGCATTGTATGTTTGTGTGTGGGTGTCAGATCTTGGGGTTACAAACAGTTGTGAGCTGCCATGTGGGTGCTGGGAATTGAACCCACGTTCTCTAGAAGGGCAGTCAGTGCTCGTAACTGCTGAGCCATCTCTCCAGCTCTGTTTTAACACCAGGTCTCTACAGCCTAGGCAGGCCTGGGGTGCACTACAAAATTCATGCTGGCTAGGAATAGTGGTGTACACCATTAATCCCAGCACTTGGGAGCCAGAGGCAGGAAGATCTCTATGTAGCTTTAGAGCCTGTTCTGGAACTCACGCTATAGACCAGGCTGATCTCAAGCTCACAGAGATCCACCCGCCTGTCTCTACCTTATGAATACTGGGATTAAAGGCGTGTGCTACCATTATCTGGCATTATTTATTTTTTTTTTTGGTTTGTTTTTCAAGACAGGGTTTCTCTGTAGCTTTGGAGCCTGTCCTGGAATTAGCTCTGTAGACCAGGCTGGCCTCGAACTCACAAAGATCCACCTGCCTCTGCTTCCCAAGTGCAGGGATTAAAGGTGAGTGCCACCGCCCCCTGCCTCAGACTCTTAAGTACTAGTATCACAGGCTTACATTACCACACCAGGATTTGTATCTGGCCTCAGTGGTAGAGCACTTGCCTAGCATGTGTGAGGTCTCAGGCTCCGTATCTAATTCCACCAAATAAAAATAAAATAAAATAAAATAAAATAAAATAAAAAAAGGAAGACAGCATGTAAGACCATGGCGGTCTTCTCAACTGATGGTGGACAGGTGCAAACAGACCCACCACATGCGAAAATCCAGCTAAACTCAAGATATATTTGATAAACCCATTGCCCATTATAAAAAATATTCTAAGTAGAGTGCTGATGAGTGCAGAGGCTCCAAGACTTCCTGTGGGGTCACATTCCCATTGTAAAGTAAAATTTAAGTTGGAGGTGGGGGTGGGGGGCATTGGAGAGTTGGCTCATGACTAAGAGCACTGGCTACCATCAGGGTTCAATTCCCAACACCCACACAATACAACAGGGTGACTCACAAGCTCTTGTAACTCTAGTTCCATGGGATCTGACACCCTCTTCTGGCCTTTTCGGGTACTGCATGCATGTGGTTCACACACAGGCAAACCACCCCCACACAGAAAATAGAAATAAATAAATCACAAAAATAAGTTGGGGACTCTTGTAGGGATGCTAGATATTACTGTAGTAGTCACACATTCTGGATGTTTTCTTTCTCCTCTTTTAGGTAGCACATGTTGCTCTAGATGTTGCTATATATGGCCTCCTAATCCCCTGCATCCACTCCTCAAGTGTTGGGATTCAGACATGAGTCACCATACTTAGCCCTGAACATTTCATTTTATTTTTCTGTGATACTAGGGTTGAGCCAGCACATGCTGGGCGGGCACTCCACCCTGATTGTTATCCTCAGCCCTCCTTTCTCACTGTTTCCAACTTTGGAACAAGGTCTCCCTAAGTTGCCAGATAGCCTTTACTTATGGCTGCCTCATTTTCTCAACACTGAGCATTTCTGGGGGTATAGCCTTCATCTATCTATGTATCTATGTATCTAGCTATCATCTATTTATATATTCATGTTTATTTACTTATTTATTTTGGTTTTTTGAGACAGAGTTTCTCAGTATAACCTTGGCTGTTCTGGAACTCGCTCTGTAGACCAGGCTGGCCTCAAACTCATTGAGATCTGCCTGCCTCTGCCTCCTGAGGGCTGGGATTAAGGGCCACCACCACCACCCGGCGAATTTATTTATTTTTATCACATATATTTTAGATTTCACTTTATCTTATGTGTGTGAATGTTTGCCAGCATATATATATATATATATATATATATATATATATATATATATATGAACTATTTATGTGCCTGTCACCTGCAGAGGACTGAAGAGGGGATTGATCTACTGCAACTGGAGTTATAGATGGTCTGAGCCTCCACGTGGGTGCCGGGATTCGAACCTAGGTCCTCTGCAAGAGCAACTGTGATGGGAACTGCCGAGGTTATGCCCGGTTATTTATTTAGAACTGGGGATGGACCAGGGCCTCATGTATGTTAGGCAAACAGTCTGCCACTGACACATCCTTTGAGGAAATTTTTTTGAGTTGGGCCTCTCCTAGTCTCCCGTCCCTGATGGCTAAGCCGGAAGCTTCCTCTTATTTTTTCTGCGGAAGCAAGGGAGGCTGAAGTTTAGCGGAGCAGAAACCCAGGTGAGAGACGGCAGAGTTTGGGTCTGCGTCCTGGTCCCTGTGGGATCCGTGGCCACATACCTCCCTCCACTTGGCGTCGCTCTTCTGCTGGATCGTCACCGGGTCTGGCTGGAAGGTCCCCAGTGGTGCGTGCGCCGATGACAGAAGCTGAACGCACAGTTGGTACTTGGACCCGCAGTCTGGCCTGGCTGCGAACCTGCGGGTAGAAGAAGGAAGGGCTCCTGAGGACCTGGGAGATGGGGGGCAGGGCAGGGGTGGGGCGCCTGGGCGGCAGGCCCCCCCCAGACCCTCGCCCCATCACTCACCAGTCTTTGACCTCGATGTCCGGTCGGGTGGTGTCCATCAGCTCCTCCCAATACCCTTCAGCCTTGAGGTCCACCACCTGGGACTTGAGGCAGGTGCTGGGTCAGGGAGGAGGAGGGGCTGGAGTTCAGCACGGGACCCCATGTTAGGGCTTGGGCTCCCCCCACCCGAAGGCCCTAGATCTTACTAATAGGAAGTCACGAAGTATTTCTTGACCTGGTCATTGGGGAATTCCTTCCGCTGGTCTTTGGAGAGATCTTCCACCTTCCATTCGTCTCCTCCGTTCACGTCCAGGCTCCAGAACTCAAATCCCTCTGTGGGGAGAGCAGAATCTACCATGCAGGAGACCCCTCAGGGCACCTTCTCCAAGTACTGCTTCCTCTCAGAGGAGGGACGCCCCAGCTGCCCTCCAGCCCTGTGCTTTGGCATGGTAGGTGGCACATTAGTGCCTCCTGTATGCTCTGGGCGTTGGGAAGGGGCGTCCATTGGGAATCCTGGATGAACAGACCCCAGCGGTGATGGAGAGCGCTCTGCCAAACAGACTTGCCTCTTTCTCAACTCCAGCAGACATGGGCTGTGTGGCCATGGGCGCATTACTTTCCTTCTCTGAGCCTTGGTCCTCTTGTTAGCTAGAATCAAGCACAGAGGCACACACCTGCCATCCCAGTAGGCCGAGGCAGGAGGATATCTGTGAGTTCAAGGCCAGTCTAAGCTACATATTGACTACCAGACCAGACAGGGCTACATGGCAAGATAGCAAGACCCCGTCTCAAAAAAGCCAACATAAGGCTGGCAAAATACCTCATTGGGTAGAAGCGCTTTCCAAAAAGCCAGATGTCATGAATGGATACCTCCCAATCCCACGTGGTGGGAGAAGAAAACGGACTCTCCCAAGGTGTCCTGACTTTCACATGTGCAGCCGTAGCATGCACAGCTCTCCCCACCCCACACACCTAACACATGCATAAATAATTGTCAAAAGAGAAGGCTCTGGGTGCCCTAATCCCTTAGGCTTTGGGCCGCAGACTGTCTCTATTGCATGGTCTTTGTGTTTCTATTTTTTTGTTTTGTTTTGTTTTTTTGAGACAGGGTTTTTCTGTGGCTTTGGAGCCTATCCTGGAACTAGCTCTTGTAGACCAGGCTGGCCTCGAACTCACAGAGATCTGCCTGCCTCTGCCTCCCAAGTGCTGGAATTAAAGGTGTGCGCCACCACTGCCTGGCTCTGATCTGTTCTTGGAACCACAATGCAAAAGAGACTTCATCCCTAGGCAAGATTCCTTCTGGGACAGTCCCCACAGGCCTAACCCAGGGTCTGTAGGTGAGGACAACAGACTGTGGCTTCCACTTTTGTCTTTGGCATAGTCCGGTCTAATTGGCCACCATTTCTTTTCCTAGGAAATGTTTTAGAAGAGGCTACCCTCAAACTCATGACCCTTCTTCTGCTTGTCTCCCCAGTGCTGGGATTATAGTGTTAGCATCATTACACACAGCAGTGATTGGTTTATTTGGAGTCTCAGGTAGCCCAGACTGGCTTCTAATGATGATCTTGAACTCCCTACAAGTGGGTGTCAGCATACCCGGCTGAGAAATAATCTATCACAAACAGTACCCTTGGCCTCAGGCTACCCATCTGAAAAGAGGGTACATTAATAGTTCCTACTTCTAAGAATTATTGTGAGAGGAGTAAAGGCCATAATGTAGTAAGGGCTCACAACTAGTGTTCAGGACATGTCCACTGGTCACCTTATAGAGCATGTGTCCTGTCAAGGCAGACACTCTCTGCACCCACCTTCTGCACACGGGTTGTGAAGGAGGTTCCTTCGGAGGCTTCGCAGGAAGTAGAAGATCTTCCAGTCAGCCACAGGCTGGTCCCAGTCCTCGGTGATGAAGCCCTCTCGAAGGCACTTGCGCTTCCAGAGGGTCACCAGGTCAATGAGGTCTCGCCAGAGGCTGCAGACAGGTCGGCAGCGCAGCAGCAGCTGGCGGGCGGGGACGTGGGTGAAGAGCTCCAGGAGAATGTTCTCCGGCAGCTCATTGATATTGCCTACAGCCATGGCAGCGGCTCCTGGCCTGCTCCTGCGGGTGTTGGAGAGCTGCGCTAGACTCCCAGCCTTCTCCCTGGCACCGGGCATTTCCAGCACCCGGGGATAGAGAGAGTCCTAACTCAGCTGGCACCGGCTCTCTCCAGTCACTGGCTGCGCTGACCTTCAGTTTCCTCTGTAGCAAACCGGGTGGGGAATGGTACTACCCTCCAGGAGCAGGAGCAGCTCAAGGTGCATGGGCTAGGGAATCTCTCAGGAAATGGTGAGCTCTGATCTCCCCCAACCCGACCCTTAAGGACAGCTCTGTGGCGGACCAAGGAGCTACCCAAGGTCACACAAACAGGAGAGGTGGGAGAAGCAACTCCGGCCCTTACTGAAGGCAGAGCCAGCCATTTTCAATAGGCCGGCAGTCTTTTAAGAAGAGGACGACAATGGTCGGCCTTGTGAGCTCGGTCTGCCACTCTTCGTCCTCTCCCATCCCCCCAGGGGGAAAAGGCGAGAGAAGATGAACGGGGTTATCACTGTCTCAGGACCCGTCACGGAGTACAAAAGGCTCAGTGACGTTCTCAAGATCTCAGAGAACATGACCTGCTTACCTGAGACTGGGGAAAGGTGGGCGGGTGGACAGGAGCCTTCCTATCTCCCTCCCGCACCCCGGTGGTTGGGCTCCAGCCGGAAGCTGCCCCTCCCCCCCCGCCCAGGGCCCCGGCAGTCTCGCATTTCTTACGCGTGACCCTAAAATGCGCCACCGGCTCAAGATGAGATTCAGACCTCTGAGCACCGATGGCGTCCCCAGCCCTGGTCTTCGAGGTCTCACAGTGCAGTGGGGGGTAAGCCCCCGAGGCCTGGGCCTTAACGGCGCTTGGCCTCCAGGATCGCAGAACGGCACCAGCCCTCTCCACCCCTAGGTCCCTGCCCACTGCGTCTCCGTCCCCGCGCTGCGTGCTCCACCTCCCGCGGTCACCTGCGACCGGGAGATCTGTGCAATCCCGCCAGGCCGTGAGGCTGTATTGCCCGGGCCGGCGTGGCCGGGGATTACAGACCTGCCCACTCCTCGCCAATCCTCCCCCGTCCGGGGCACTCAGTGCCCTTCTCCTTCGGTCACCTGCGCTTGGTTGTGTTGCGTGACCGGTCCTAGCCTTGGAGCAGCACCCTGAACACGGCCCCGCCCACCGCTCAGCAGACCCCGCCCCACAACATCGATCCCTCTTCCTCCCAGTTCTCCTAGTCACCCGCATTTAGCCGCGCTGCGCCGTACCCCCGGTTCTTGGGCTGAGCCATCCGCGCCAATGGTGGCCCGGGGTGCGATCCGTCCACAGTTGGGCATACCACGCCCCCGCCCCACCCCATTTCTCTTGTCACCCGCCTTTGATCCGGCTGCACTACAACGCTGGGGCTAGGAACTGCGCCTTTCTGCCAATGCTGGCCCAGGATGCGGCCCCGCCCACTGCCCTCAAGGCCCCGCCCATATCCCCTCTAAGCTCCGCCTCACCCACGCACTCCGGGAACTTGCCCCCACCGCAGCATAGGAAAATTACCTGGGGGGCGGGAAGTCGCTGACACCCCCAAACTCCATTTGGCCTGGTACCCGCACCCTCTCCTTCCCAGATGCCCGACCCCTGGTGTCCTTCCGCAGTCACCCTCCAGGCATACCGGGAGCCTACCCATTCCGTGGGTGCCCCTCCCCAGTACCCGGCTCCTCCAGGAAGCCGCACCTTGGGCTCCGGGGGCGCGGGGCTCCCGGCCCCCAGCGTGGGGTCAGAGGCTGGGCGGGGCGCGCGGGGCCTTTAAGAGGCGCAGTGGCACGGACCAGGCTGACGCGGGCATCTCCAGGACTCGCCACCCGCAGCGCTCGGGTTCCTCTCTGTCGACGGTGCCGCAGCGATGGATGGAGATGGTGATCCAGGTAGCCGTAGCCGGCCCCACTCGATCGCGCCAGACCGGGGAGACCGGGAGGACGAGCGCCCCAGACGGCGCTCAAACTTTCGCGACAGCAAAACCCCGGAGACAGTCTAGGGAGCAGTTTTCTGCTTGGTGTCTTGGTGTGGAGGGAGGAGGACGCCTGGGTCTCCAAAATGGCATCGGAGGACTCTGGCATCCCAGGTTCCAGACTTCTTTGGGTTTGAGAGCCGGGTTCTTGCAAGCTTTCCATCAACTTCTTCCATTTGCTAGTTCTGCCTGCCCTCCCTTTCTCACGAGCCTCTGGACTCCCCGCCTGGTTCTGGGGCTTATCAGCCTCACTTTTCATCCATACAAGATTCCTGAGGGACTCCCTCCTTTGGAGGGGCCGCCTTGTGTCGGGTTAGTGGGCTGCTCCATGGGGACCAAGCTAGCGGTGGGTAGTAGGTAGTTGGGCTGTTTTTGGAGGATGCTCTGGGACCTCAAGGATTGTCCAGTCATCTTTTTTGGCACCAAAGACCCCACTCCTTCCCACTTTCAGCTCCCTGCTGGGCCTGTAGGGGGTTGTTTGCTGAGTCAGGCTAGAGAGCTGCCTGCCATGACCCTCACCCCTTCCTCACAAACCACTCTTTAGGAGAGGCGAGGCCCTCTAAGGTGGCCAAGCCACCTTCCATAACTGAAGCCCCTTCCAACTCCCAATCCCCACCAACATCATCTACAGGGCTCCAGAATAGGCTCCTGTTTTTCGCCTAGGGCCCAGGAAGTCCCTGGACTCAGGGGCCCAATCCAGGTGAGTGAGTCAGCGTGGGGTCAGTGTCTAGGGTTAGATAACTTTTCTACAGCAACAATGTGGCGAGTTGTGTGCCAGAGAGCAGAGTGGGGGGGAGGGCTGTAATCGGATCTGGGACCTCAATGCCAGGCCTAGGGGCCAGGAGAGAGGACTGGGTGAGGTGCATCTTTCCGGGAGCATCAGGTATCCGCTGGGGCCAGGGCAGGGCTGGGGTGGTGGTGGAGAGGTGAGGACATTGGGTCCAGCTCTCCAGAGAGCTGTGGGAAACAGGATGGACAGGCGGTTTCCCTCACTGCTTGATAATGCCCGTCCCAACAGAGGAGTGAACCCCTACATATGAAAAAAGGGGCCAAAAAAAACAACCCTAGAAATGCAGGGAAAGTGGTGTGTGTGTGTGTGTGTGTGAGAGAGAGAGAGAGAGAGAGAAAGAGAGAGAGAGAGAGAAAGAGAGAGAGAGAGAGATTCACCGTGGCTGATGGAGAACTCTGGGTGTTCTAAAGAAAGAGGGTAAATCCTGATTCAGCTTTTCAATGCAGACAGTGTGGGGATTGCTGGCTGCATCACATCAGAGGTTTGGGGAATAGGCCACCTGTCCCCTCCCCGCCACGGGCCGGCTCTCCAACTGCTCTGGATTTTCAGGGCCCAACCTTCAGGAACTCTGAGAGAAGTGACCTCCATTCCCCAGGGTGGCTGGGTCCCCTCCCCGCTGGCCCTCTCTCCTTCAGAGACACCGGGCACTCAGTGTCTGCTTACTCAAGGCTTCCATGGCCCAGATGAGGCGGGCTGAGATCCAAGTGATACCTAGCTGCCCACACTGTCCTGGGTGTGCAGTGAACTGACCTCAAGAACACAGCCTGAGAGACATTGCTTCCTCCCTGGGGCCTTGCCCCCACCATGGGGTCAGAAGTTCCCACTGACTTTAGCAAGAGTGGCTGTCCCTATGCCCTGCTCCTCTGTGGGGGAGGGGGTGAATATCAGTATAAATTTGATGGTCTAGCACAATGCTGACTCCATTTCACAGATGAGGAGACTGAGGGTGAGGGATGGGAAAGGGGGGCACCCTTCCCTCATTACCCAATACCTCTCTCCCCGTTGGTTTTCCACCCCCACTGTATACAACATTGGCTGGCTGGGGACAGCCAGATCGCTAGCCCATTCTCTCCATTCTGAGTCCTTGGGTCTTCTACCCTAATACTGCCAGTGGGACCTACACCAGTTTACTTCACACCTTCAAACCTGAGCATTTTCATCCACAGTATCAAAACCAAGATCTGAATACTAATGCAACAAATTCTTTTTTGCTTGCTTTGTTTTTTTTCCAGACAGGGTTTCTCTGTGTAGTTCTGACTGTTCTGGAACTCATACTGTAGACCAGTCTGGCTTCGAACTCACAGAGATCCGCTTGTCTCTGCTTCAAGTATGCTGGGATTCAAGAATGCTGGGATTAAAGGTGTGCACCACCACCCCTTGGCTGAACACATTCTTTTGGTAACACTGCAGCTGTTAATGCTGGCTCTTGTGCTGGACCAAATACGTTCAAACACAGACTCCAAGTACTTATAAGTTGTGTGGTCCTGGACCTTGTCACCTCCCTGTCCCTTCATAAAATAGATGGTTTGAAGGTTTAGGAAGTAATTCAGATGCTCTGAGCAATACCTCATGCTTGCTAAGTTCTGATAAAATACAGTAGCTCCCCACTCCACACTGGGGGCTAGGCACTAGAAGAAAGCAGTGTCTCCCAGGCCACGTTCTTGTGGTAAGTCCATTATACACAGACATTGTGAATGCCTTTGGGTGTGGGCTGGGAAATGGTGTACTAAAGGTATGTCCAGGAAGGCTTCCCGGAGGAGGCAAGGGACCCAAAGGTCTGGGAGGGTACTTAGGAGAACTGACCCACAAGTACAAGATCATCAGTAACCCTAGATACTTGTGGGTGCCTACTAGCCCTGTGGGGTAAGCTGCAGCTGAAGCAATTCTTTTGGTTTAGGCAAAGTGTCTTTGGCTCTCCCTTCTTGGGGTTCCTCCCTGGGCACAGTTTAGGGCCACAGATCTCTCTCTCTCTCTCTCTCTCTCTCTCTCTCTCTCTCTCTCTCTCT